ATGAAAGATATCAATTAGCTTTAGTTTTACTTGAAAATTTAAAAAAGTTAATTTATGATTAAAAACTTATTTTCTAAGAATTGTCTAACTGTTAAGCTCTACTTAAATGATCTAATATCTAATCTCTACATTTATGATCTAATATCTGACTCCAACAAAATTTCACAGTGTTGTAAATTTTTGATGTATTTTTTTGTGACAGACATTTTGGTATTTTCTTTAATTTCTGAAACAACAAGATTTTCTTCTAATGTTTTCTCTTACCAGTATTATGCAACATTAGATGTGGATTTTTGCAACTTTCTGCAAATGTTGGTTTTTAGATCTGTTGACATTTGATATATTGGTACATTATTTTTCTAGACAAACTTTTCAATTTAATGTTTGCTTTGTTTCATTCCATTTCATGTAATTGTAAAAGGTTCATCAGTTGTAAGACATTCTGTCAACTTTTTCTTGATTCTTGGCCCATAGAGTGGCTCTAAAATTCCAGTCAATGTTATCCTAAAACTGAAATTAAAAAAAAAAAAAATGCTACAAAAAAATCTTAAATGCTTAGTATTTAAAAACAAAACATGTAAATAAAAACACATGTAAAATTCAGTAAATTTGTAAAAACACATGAACAAAAAAAACACATAAAATTGTAAAAATTCATTAAATTTGTAAAAACACATGAACAAAAAAAACACATAAAATTGTAAAAACACATGAACAATAATATTATAGTAAGGTGATATGGATATTAGTATGGTTTTACTTATCTTTTAAATAAAGTTTTCACCAACAAAAAAACTAAAAGTTTAATTTATGTCCGCTGTATTGTGTTGTTATTTATACTTATTATTATGCGAATAAAAATATTTATTAAAAAGATGTTATATTTGTTATAAAAATATGTTATACTTGTTCATTCAACATCTGGCTAAAGCATCTTTTGTAAACAGGTAAAAACATTTAATCCAACACATGTCAAAGTAACCCCGGGTTATCTATTAATGTTTGTATTAATATCTGTTGACAACCAACATGCATTAAAAATACAGTTGATTTTTGTCTTTTATCAGACAAAGCACCTGATACTGCTGATCTATCCAACTTACCTATTTTTACCTGCTACATTAACAGTAAAAACAAAGTAAAGGAAGAACTACTGGGACTAATGAATACTACTAACAATAAAGGGGCTGAATTACTCCTAAAAAAATAGTAAATCTTTAGTTTTAAAAGATATTTTCATAAAAAAATTAAGGTTTCATGGTACAGATGGTAGAATGAAAAAAGAAATTGTTTATTCTGTTGATTTTCTTTTCATTCTGAAGACTTGGATAAGCTATGGAATAGGATTTATTAATAAAGTTCCAGACTTTTCCAGAAGTTTCAGACATTTTAATAACTATTTACTAAGCAAACTAACCACCTTTTATCACAAATAACTTTTGGTGCTAAAATTTATAAATTAATTCATTTAACTTCATGGATAAGAACATTGCACCCTATTCAAAATATTTCAACAATAGAAATCATTACAATAGTATTGGTGTATTTGAACTCTAAATATGAGCTGTTTTTTTTGTATTATGTTTTTCTTTTAATTACTTTAGCTAAACTTGGTCTGTACATAAGTACAGATCAAGTTTAGCTAAAGTAATTTGTCACAAGTTTGTTCATTCGTCACAAGTTAAAAACTTTTATGATACTGGTAAAACTTCTATAATTAAAAAACTATCAACTTAACAAATCAGATTTAGTTAAATTTGATCACACATTTGCCAAAAAACTGTTACACTTCTTTATACGAAATTTAAGAAAATTAAAGGAGCCTTTCCTTTACTTACAGGTTACTAAACGGAAAATGCAAAAAAGTTGTGAGAGAAGAAAAAGTTAGCTTTAGCAAGTTGCATAGGAAAATAATATATCAAGTACATATGCTTTAACTAAAGTTTTAGAAAATTCAAACTAAAGTTTAAGCAAAAATAAAACTCAATATTGAATGCCAAATACAACTTAATATACATTTTAACTATGAAATTTTTTGTTTAATACATTTGAAATTAATGCTAAATGTTCACAAACTTTAAATATATCAAAAGTTATTGAAAATTATATAAGAACTTTTTGTCACATTTTTTGTCAAGAAACATTTTTAGAACTCTTATTAGTGACTTGACGACTTTATTCAGAAAATTTTTATTTGATTTTGATTTGATATGACAAAGTTCAATGTACCAGGTTCTTTAACAAAACTATTTACATTTATTTTACTGGAACTAAGGTATATGTTTTTAAAGAAGTGCATTCACATAAAACTCTCTTTAACTTAGATTAAAGATTCTGTTATATATAAATATTTATTAAAAATAGGTACTTTTGAAAATTAGTTTCCTAAATTATATAGGATTTATATGGTTAAAGAAACTTTTCTTATGTATTGAATTTTTTAAAGTTCATATTGTTTAGTGTTACATTTTTATAGTATGTAAAAGAAACACTAAACAGTATGAACTTTAAATTCAATTCATAAGAAGAATCATAAAGCACTGTATATAAATAAAACATAATTTACTATTAAGTCAAGTTTTATTTATAATTTTATTTAGACATGATATTAAATTTGCAATTGACAGTATAATTATTTGAGATTATTTGTTTGTTTTTATAATGCATGTATATATATATATATATATATATATATATATATATATATATATATATATATATATATATATATATATATATATATAGATATATATATATATATATATATATATAGATATAGATATATATATACATACATGGTAAGAAGATATATATTAAATAAAATTTCTGTAAATTATGAAAAACTTTATATGTAACAAGAGTTCCTATCAAATGAACTTGATATTGAACATAAGTTGCACATTCTAACACCTAGTGCAACACTGTCTGCTGTCTCTATGCCATCTTTCTAACTCGACTTCTTCTAATTTCTCTCTAATATCCTTTATTCTTCTAAAAATCACTTATTCTTGGTCTGCAAAGCAGGTTATGATGCTCTTTAATGAGCTGAACTTGTCTTCGTGGGAAAGAGGATACACCACATGGAGGATAAATGCATGAAAGAAGGTATATACTAAATAAAATAGCATGTTCAATGTATTTTTATATTTTTACAGTGCAGTTTTTTTTAAAAAAGCTCTCTTAATTATTTTAAAAAGCTCTCTTAATAGTTGAATTACATTTTTATAACAACATATAAATTCTTTTCATTTATTTTTGACTTGTAAACTCATGTTAACTTTGTAAGATGAGTTGAGTAACTGTCTATTTGCTGAATTAACAGAGTTTTCCTGTTAATTTGAACGAAAAACTGAAATGCAGAAACCATGAATTTTACAGAGAAAATCCTGTATCTTTCTTAACAGACTTTTTTTGTTGTTTTTAACAAAAAATAGACACTACGGGAACTGTTAATTATTACAGAGAAAGTGCTGTCACTTTGCTGCCAGACTTTCTCTGTTAAATCTACGGCGAATTTTTTAACAGCTCATGTCATCAGACTGGATTATTACCTATATTTTTTGGATGTTCAAAAAATTATCTACTAATGCTATAAATAAAATATGTAAACAGAATATAAACAATTTAGATTAATAATGTGAAAAATACAAAATCGGTAAAATAAGTTTGATGTGTTACATGGTGCATTATGTTTTTTTTTTATTGTTTTTTTTACTCAACATACATTTCCTCCATGTTGTTTTTTAAAATATTGCTACAGATCAAACCAAAACAGAGAAATTTAGATGAGTTCAAACATCATAAGCATCTGATGCTGTTGGGTTGAAATAATTGGTTGAAACAATTGAAACTAATTAAAATGTGAGAGTCAATCATTAATAGTTTTCAAAATAAAAAGAAGGACTTATCAAACTTTTATAAACTTTTTATTAATTAAATTTTATTTTCACTTTACTTGTAAAAATATACTTGTAAAAATATACTTGTAAAAATATACTTGTAAAAATATACTTGTAAAAATATACTTGTAAAAATTCACTTGTAAAAATATACTTGTAAAAATATACTTGTAAAAATATACTTGTAAAAATATAAATGTAAAAATATACTTGTAAAAATATACTTGTAAAAATATACTTGTAAAAATATACTTGTAAAAATTTACTTGTAAAAATATACTTGTAAAAATATAAATGTAAAAATATACTTGTAAAAATTTACTTGTAAAAATATAAATGTAAATAATATGAGTTAACACATATAAAATAGGAGTTAGAGTTAAATATGAAATTTGAAAATTTTTCTGTGCAGCCTTGAAGACTTGAAGCTAGTTAGTAAGTTAAATAGTAGCTTGAAACTAGTTAGTAAGTTAAATAATGGTTTGAAGCTAGTTAGTAAGTTAAATAATGGTTTGAAGCTAGTTAGTAGTAAATTTGCTTGAAAAAAAATAATTTCTTAAAACAAATTTACTATCCACAAACTTTTATTATGAACAGGAAAAATATTTGCTTCTTATCTAATAAAACTTTATTTATTATTTATTTTTTTATTTGGATTTGACAACGGATTTCACGATTTGATGTCACTTTTTTTTATTTATTTGTAAATTCACAATTAAAATAAAATTACAATAAATTAACAGTTTAATTTACAACAAAATAAAAGTAAACAAAAGAATTTCAAGAAAGAAAAAATAAGATTCAAGTAAAAAGTAAGAAAAAAATAAGATTACATAGAGCTCAAGTAAGAAGTAAGAAGTAAAGAAGTAAGAAAAAATAAGATTACATTGAGCACTTTTGACAGTTATTATCATTTTATTGTTGATAAATTCACCTCCCAGAAGCTCTCATGAAAGGCACTGGAGATTTTCAGAAGAGAGCTTCAAAAAAGGCGACTAGAGAACTTCAGAGAAGAGCTCTAAAGAAAGTCAGTAAAAACCTTCAGAAAAAAGCTCCCGAGGTCACTAGAGAGCTTTAGAGAATGCTATCATAAACACTTACTTGTTTTGCAAATTCTATCCAGTACTTTGGAACAGGTACAACTATTTTTTTTATCCAAGAGATGCTGCACTAATATAATAAAAAAATTAATAGTAATTTAACAATATTTAAGATATTAGCTTTTTTAGATTAAGTTGTTAAAAAGTTTTTAAATTTAAAAGTATTATTATTATTATTGCTATTATTGCTATTATTATTATTATTATTATTATTATTATTATTATTATTATTATTATTACAATAAAATCATGTGAAACACTTTTACCGCTTTACTTTTAAAATAGATTCATTTAGGACATTGGTCATACTATCACCACTTTTTAAACACAAAATTTAGTAATTTATTACATACAATTATTATTTTGCTTCCAATAACTTTATTACCAGTTAATGATGACAAACTAATGCACATTTAGAAAGACTTTAAACTTGATCAAGATACAGTTTCTTTATTAGTGCAAACAATATTATTTAACTATTTTCTGCAGTTTCTTATAATTCTAATGGTATAAAAGAATAAGTACTGAAATAATAAATTTAAACATTAATTTATTGTTAAAAGTGACCCAAAACAGCTTTTTTTATCATTATAATTTTATCATTACTAAAACTTAAATTTCTCTCTAAATACAAAACCTTTCATTTTAATTTTCACTATATACAAAAGATAATAGATAATTTTATCTTAATTTATAAAAATATTTAAACATGTATTTATATATCCTGTTAGAAATGCATTTAAAAAATGCAATTTTAATGAGTTTAAACTGATTTTTATAGAGGTAGGACTTCCTTCGCGAAGCCAATTCTTTTTTTAAAGAGGGTTTGTAGCATTCTATAAGAAACTAAAAAAATTAGCTGCCCCAACTTGCCCCATTTTGAAATAATGTGGTTTTTAAAAGCCTATTTTGTAAAAAAATTAGCAACGTAAGAGCTAATATGATATAAATTAACTTCAATTTTATCTTTATGATATAAATTAACTTCACTAATATCTTTAGAATGAAATAAACTTTAAACTTTCTTTTCTTCGCTTATATCTTTAGAATAAAAACAATGAAATTTTGCTCAAAACCAAAATGATTTTTAAAATATTTAAAAATCAACTCTTGAAAAACTTTGAATGTTTAAACTTCTAAATGGTGATATTTAAAACTTTTATGTTATATCTTATAACTCTTATGTTTAATACATGTTAACAGGATGTACCCTGGAAATAATTTCTTAACATACATAAAAAAGATCTGCCTTTAGATGTATGTTTACATAAAGATATCTTATCAAGTCCTAGACCCTGAAAAATTTAAACAAAAATGTTAAGATCTTTGTCTCTACTGGTTAAGGTTCTCTTATTTATTAGTAGAACAATATCTGGTTTTAATTCATACTTTTTTAAAATATGCTACATAAAGAAGTCTTATTTTTTACAGATGCTTTGTATAGAGTGATGTATATGTTATTGTTATCAAGATGTTTAGCTTAGAGTGGCTACCAAGATTTTTTATTTAGAGTTTTATTGCTATCAAGATATTTGGATAAAAAAGGTGGGTCATGGCTAACAAGATGTTTGGTTTAGAGTGCGGTGTCATTGTTAACAAGATATTTGCTTTAGAGTGGTGGTTCAATGCTAACAAGATGTATGGTTGAGAGTGGTGGGTCATTGCTAACAAGATGTTTGGTTTAAAGTCAGGTGTCATTACTAACAAGATGTTTGGTTTAGAGTTTCATGTCAATGCTATCAAGATAATTGGTTTAGAGTGGTGTGTCAATGCTATCAAGATGTATGGTTTAAAGTGGCCTGTCAATGCTATCAAGATGTATGGTTTAGAGGGGTGGATCATTGCTACCAAGATGTTTGGTTTAGAGTGGTGTGTCAATGCTATCCAGATGTTTGGTTTAGAGTGGTGGGTTATTGCTAACAAGATGTTTGGTTTAGAGTGGTGGATGGTGGTGAAGTAGTGTATAGAGTGATTGTCCATTTCTAATAAGAACAGTTTTGTCCATTCTAATTATCTTAAATGATAAAAAATCTAAATTTTAACATGCATTCATTATATTAAGTCATTATAGATAATAAAAAAAAATTGAAATAAACGAAAAATTCTAAATGATATTTTCTTGCTTTTTTTAAATTTATAAAAAAAAAAAAGAATTGTGACCGGTTTTTGGCTAATTTTTAAAGGTTTTTTGCACTCAGAAAAACTCTCAAAACTAAAGAGAAATGATGAAAGAAAAACATTACAGATTGAATGTTGCCTGGTAAATCAACTCATGCAATATTCAAAATTTATTTTTAGCGCATAAATATTTTTATGAAATGCATAAGCCTCTATCCAATGCGTAAAGCCATTACTAGTATACTGATACTGTTTCTATGTGAAATCTAATGTGACTTGCTGCTGATGTAAAAATAGATGAAGGAATGCCATGCTAATTTTTGTTGGCATGCTGCCACTGGTTAATGAGTAACAAAACGCTTAGTTGTATACACATTTAAAAAAAATGTTATAAATAAATTTAAGTCAATGTTCGAAAAAAATTTTTTAGGGACAAAGTCTATTTATCGCTTACTAATTCTTATTATTATCGCTTTCAAAAAATCCTAAAGGTAAAAAACAGATGAATATTTAACCTAATATTCTTAACAATCTTTTTTCTTTATAAAATTTAAATTTACCAAAATATGCATTTTTTCAAGTATTTTTATCTAGTTAAATATATGGAACTTTTATGAAAATAATAAAAAAATGAATATTTGAACTACTTTTAACAATTTAGTATAAAGGTTGTATAAAGAAAAAAAAAAATGTTTTTGAACATGTATTTATAGAAATAAAACAAAAATTAATAACATAACATAAAAAAGGTATAATTTGGAAGCTTTAAAGTTGGTTTAAATAACTTTATTTGCAGCTGATTTTTTTTTTTTAAATAATATATGGATATTATGATTTAATAAAATCATATCGATCAAGTCCATGCATGTGGACATAAGTTTTAGGAAGAAGTTGAAATTGAAAAAAAACTTTTATTTTATGTTAGTTTCAAACATAACTTATGCAAATATACAATAATAAAAAATTATTATTTCAAATTAAACTATATATTACAAAATTTGTTTAAAAAATGTGCATATAGTATTAAATTTATACACAAATTAAAAAATGTTGTATTTTTGAAAGAAATTATTCATCGGTTTTTAATCGCTCTTGGATATGGCTATTGACTTTTCTTTCAACAAAAATTATGAAACCTATATATTTTTGAATTGCCTGGACAATGTTGTATTTAAAAAAAATAAAAATAACAAAAATTACAGACTTTTTTTTTTTTTAATTTTGGCCAAAAATCAAGTTTTTCAGACCACTGCACAGTGGGATAAAATCATGTCTTTTGGTGCCAAAATTATTTTTAATTCTTTTTATTAGAACTGTTATAAACTAATTATAAAAACCATATAAATTAAATATTAAGCTCATATATATTGCTAAAAAAGTTTATTTTTGGGTTTAATTACAATTAAAAATTACAAACTAGATATATCTATATTCTAGAATGTAGAATTCTTGCAAATAAAAAGTTCAACAACACCCGGAGGAAATTTCTTTTTTACAGATGAAACAGATTTTCTATAAGATGAAATAACTGGATCAGATGTACATAATAGTCTTTTCATTACATCTTGTCTTTGTTCTTGAATTTTTACGGGAATGATGTTCCCTATATTTTCTAAATTCTTCATTTCTAGCTTCTTGAGCTTTCTAACTAAATAGACCTATTGGTAAAAATAAATTTTCTATTAAATCTGCTCCATGAATTAAGATCTTGTGAAGACTCTGAGGCATGTAATACCAATGGTACAAGCATGAGTAGAGTTTTGCAATCTAAGCGAAACTTACTAGTATCTATTTGAAATCCACTTGATATACAAATTAGGATTATATGCAACTTTACAACTAGTTCCTTGTTTATTCCTGTAATATCAGCAAACAAGTCTTCATTTGAAAAAGCTTTTCGAGCAGTATTGCCGTAATTTGAGTTTCCAGATCCTCTACATTATGGGTAGTCAATAATAAGTCCCATTTTGTGTTGAAATTCTTTTTATATCTTCATTTTTTGTTTTTTAACAAGAGATTTCTCTTCGTCTCCTCTTGCTTGCCATTTTTTTACTGGTATCTTATATGAAATATGAATGAGACACTCCAAAAATCTTATCCATGCATGAAGTGTAGATTTGAAGCTCATATTGAAGCTTCATATTTGAAGCTCATATTGAAGCTCATCTGGTGAGTATGGAAGTTTCGTAACTTTGTCAATGTTGTTTATGTTTTTTGGTGAACACCCGCATATACAGCAACATTTACTAGAGCTTGTTACATTTGATAGAGCAGTATGGACTTTGCCATCTATCATTGTAACTTGAATGATATGTTTGACTAAAATAGACTTGCCATTAGATAACTGAACAAAAGTTTCTACAAGATTTAAGATCTCGTCTTTCAAAGTAGCTTCTTCAATAAGTAATAAATCAGTTGTTTCTTTTTCAAATTTAAATCTTAAAGGTCAACAATATAAAGTGGAAGAAGGTTTTGGATTTCTCCACATGACAGTTAGGGTTTCTTTAACATAAGTTGTAATCTGAAGTGGAACCAGGCAAGTTAGAAACAATGATTCTTCTCTTTTCGCGAAAAACTTACAATAGACATTTTTTGTTTATATATGCTTTGACCAGTAGACCCATAAAAACCTGCTTTAAATGAAGAGATACCAGGTCAAATGTTTCTAGCATACATAAAACCTCATTTGGAACTTGACGTAGTCTTTAAGCTGTATGGTCACATAAACTTTGCAGTAATATATTTGCAGTATAGTCAGTAAAAATCATGTTATTAGGGTACCACAAAAGTTTTGATGATTTTATATTGTTATATGCAGGATACAGGTTGCATTCTTTTTCAATTGCTGCATTTCTATAGAGTTGAAATTTTTTTTTTTTATTATTCACCTCCCCAAGGCCTGAGGGGGCCACTACAGTCGAGGAGGCTACTAATTTTTTTTTTTTTTTTTTT